TCGTTTATCGCGGTTAAGGGGGACCAAAACCACCCGCGATAAACGAAAATCCGCAAAGTAGCGACCCCACCCCTTCCATATAAGGTACATGTACATAATATTTATAAGGCCAAATTTAATGGTGTACATGCCTGTAGAAGTAAATTTTGAAGTAATTAACATGACTTAATGCTGTATACTAATAGATTTACACATGTATAAATTAGGTTAGTTTATGAATAACAAAATACAGTAAACATATTAAAATGTTTGTTTTTTTTCAAGTCAAACAGTCCGCAAGAAGCTGCGAAAGTCAGCAAAAACAACAGCGAGTCACATAGAGCAACATATACAGTACTGTACTACAGTACTTTTTTATGAATATGTTTGAAAAAATCCTCGATGCACTGAAGCCACGATAAACGAACCGCGAAATCCGCAGTACCCGCAGAAAATCCATGCAGGCATGGGTGCGAGGCGGAAATGCTAACCAGTCGACTGCCGTGTCGCCACATGATTCACACTCTACATAAATGTGTGATTAGATCTAAAATCAATGGACCTGTTCAACTGTAGAAGCAATCTCACAGTGTTAAATATGTTAAATAGCGCTTGGGTTAATATAAGACTAAAAGGGGCTAAAGGGATGCAATGTTTACTTACAGTGTTTGTGTTGACTGAAGGTTACTTTGTCAGCAGGGATCACCCATAAATGTTTCCCCACTCAATCCCGGGATGTGGGAACCTGTTGAGGCATGAAAAGAAAAACAGAAAAATTATTTTTTGCCAAACATCACACATTAATCATTTATGTTACGGAGCAAGAACAGGATTTTTTTTTTTTTTAAGGAAATTGGGGTAAAAAAATTGAACCTTTTTGGTAATATTTGGTAGTACCACAACCATTTCTTTTTAGATCAGGTCAGAGGGAGTTACTGGTGCCTATAGTTTATACACATTATGAAACAGTATATACAGCTTGGACCATGAACATGATGTGTGCATGCTTTACATGCTGTTTCACAGGGACAACACACCTACCACGCACCTGACATTTATTTAATTTATAATAATAATAACGCCCCTGCTGGCTGCCTTAAATTACCCTAAAATCCCCTTGTGTCCCTCATAGTTTGTTGAATTAGACCACTTGATTATGTTACAGGCGGCCCGGTGGTCCAGTGGTTAGCGCATCGACCTCACAGTGCAAAGGGTTCAATTCCAGCTCTGGCCTCCCTGTGTGGAGTTTGCATGTTCTCCCCGGGCCTGCGTGGGTTCTCTCCGGGTACTCTGGTTTCCTCCCACCTTCCAAAAATATGCATGGCAGGCTGATTGAACACTCTAAATTGTCCCTAAGTGTGAGTGTGAGCGCGGATGGTTGTTCGTTTCTGTGTGCCCTGCGATTGGCTGGCAACCGGTTCAGGGTGTCCCCCGCCTACTGCCCGAAGACGGCTGGGATAGGCTCCAGCACCCCCCGCAAACCTTGTGAGGATAAAGTGGATTGAAAAATGGATGAATGGATAGGTTATGTTACAGATGCCACATTTGAGACATTGAGAACATTGAACGGGCTGCCTGTTATTGTGAGCCCTCTGCACAGACTGTTTCTTATTGATAATCAATCATGGAGTTCTTGTGAGGATGGCAGAGCATTATCTGAGTTTTCTAGTTTCTAAAATGGCAAAATGGGAGCTTTTTCAAATCAAATTATAGACTGTAGAGTTCACCAGTAGCAGCTATGAAAGGGGAAATGTGGCACTCGCCTCCCATTGAGCAGCCATGTTTCACCACTCAGTCATTTTTTTTTTTTCAAATCCAACAACTCTTCTTATTCTGGGAGCAAAATGGATGTCAAGATGAAATTCACAGAATTGCTAATTACTTGATTACCGACCCTACGCTGCGATTAATCGCAGTGCTACGTCACCCAGTGTGACAGCGGCACTCATTGGGAGACAGTGTGATGACTGCAGACGAGGACCACTTTGATGAGACTGGAAATGATCACACCAACTGATGCGCATTTGTTCGACTCATCACACCCGGAATTCAGATTGCGGACCATGAATTGATCTCAGTTCAGAACGCAGAGGCTTGCTTTCAGAGACTGATTGCACATGAAATGGCGAGCAAACTGTTTACCACCTTGTCGGATACTACTAACAGAAGCTGGACTGTGTTAGCGTTGAGCGAGGGCTGAACATGAAAAAGAAAAGCAGCCCCAGTGTGCCTGAGCCTGTCAGCTCAAGGGACGGAGATAAGAAACTCCACAGTGTACGATGACTGTTGCAAGCTAATCGTCATCACGATCATCATATTACAACTGAACAGTTTTATTCACAGAGGAAGAGGCACTTGATTGAAGATAGCAAGGCTAAATGCAGAGTGCAGGAGATGCGCAGAAGTGTCACCATATAGATCAAAGGAGTCCTCCAAAGACTTCAGATGAAAATGCTCGTGTTCAAATTGGTAAATGCTCCCCTTGGGGGGAAAAAAAAATCAAGCCTGACTTTTGTTGTACCTGTCTGCCTAACGGCGACTTTCAAACAGGCTGTCAGCAGCTAGTCTCAGTGAGGAAGACAGCAGGGCTGGCTGGTTGATCTGCCCTGAAGGTACAGAACTATTATCCAAGTTTAGATGAATTCATGATGATGAATCACTGTTGATCCTTTTTAAGTACATATGCGCATTTTGCTTTGACTCGAGGTTGAACATTTTCAATTTTTTTTTAATTCATCAATGCTAAGGTAATGATAGTTAATTGGCACGTTCATCTAATTTAGAGATGGGCTACTGACATGGCGACTTAATAAAAAAGAATAACAGAAAACAACTTCTATTATTTATTTTTGTACAGACAATCCTCCCAGAAAAATCTTCAAAAATGCTGATCAACATTCAATGTACTTAAATGGGGGGAAGAAATAAAAGGAAAAGTGGGAAAAAATATTCTAAGAAATTTCTTTTAGCACCTGCTGTTGAAGGTCTGAATAAATCAGGCCCTAAGAGTTAGTTGTTTGTCAAGAATTTACGAAAACATGCCTGTCCTCAGGTACTGAGAGGTTTGGAACCAAAATTATACAGCACTAACTAACAAATTCAACCCACAGTGACATTCTGGTAAGGAAACAAACTCATCTCTGCCTGGCAGGGACAGCCCCCACATGCTTGGATGCCTCTTTATATTCTTCCCACAGCAGTTTAAGTTCTTTTTCCCTTGACTGCAGGTTTAGTTTCTATCCCAGATCCTCCGTGCCCATTTGCATTCAGCCACTGTTTGTTCATATCTCTGCACGGCATCACACGTTCATCGCACGGGGGCACAAACATCGACCGGTACTGGCATTGCAGTAGAAATGCAAACTTTCCAGTAATACCCCTCGATCTTTCCGAAACATCACTTTCACGGCACTTATCCAGTCAACGTGCTGTTTTTACTGCTTTCTGATGGTGACCCACATATATGTGATAAAATACTGTACATGGCTGTGCCTCAGCATCATAGAGGGAGTTCTAACAAGCATAACAAGCCCCTCTCTGAGACCCCCAAAAAAGTGCGCCCATGAGTTGATTATAATCCCGACACGCTGCAGGGATAAACAGCATGTTTGTTAACGCAGTGTTTCATATGCTAATTAAGATTTTGTTTTTGCCAAACACAGTGTTTAGTATGCTACGCCGTGTTAGGACAACAAGGGATTCATTTCTATGCCTTGTCTTCAACTTAAATTTAAGATATTTTATGGAAATAGAAAAATAAAACTGTCTCCATTATTATAACCAAACTGCTTTATCAATCTCATGCAGGCGGTGCATGTGTACGACCACAACGGCTGATGACTGCGGCACAACGTGATTGCCGTATTGACTGCAATCATTCACCGTTATGGCCGCGAAAAATTATTTTTTGCCAAACATCACACATTATCAATTTATGTTACGGAGCAAGAACAGGATTTTTTTTTTTTTATGTTGATATTTATGTTGATTTGATCACTTTCATTTATCACACACAAAGGCAAGCGGGTTTACAAATTCAACCGCAAAATAGCACTCTTTAGTATTGTACTCTATAAAAACACACAGTCATGACAATTAAATACAATGTAAACAAGCAGTTGGCACATTTTCATTTAGTTTCAAAAAGTTGTTATTCCGCGCCTTATCTTTACGTTTGCGCCACACTTTTCGGCAGGTATCTTCACTTTACGACAGCCCTGAAGTAGGAGAAACGAAAAGTGTTCTGTAGATACTGAAATAGTCCTGATAAATTTACTTTCGGTCAATTAATAATTTTAAAAGAAGACAAATATGGGCCAAAAAGTCTGTAACTAGTTACCTAAAATTATTCGTTTAGAGCACAAACAAATAAAAGGTTTGCGCTAGTAGGACTACATTTTCCATGATTCTTAGAAATAGAAAATTCTTAGAAATAGAAAAAGCAAGAAGTAGTTCTTGTTCTAGTATGAGGAGAACATGGCCACTTGTGAGCTATTACAAGCGGGTGAGGATGAGAACGCGAACGAGAATGTGGAAGTACACAGGAAGGAATTTGAATTAAAGACAACAAACTGAATAGCCATCACCCTGTCTTTGCCCTTCAAATGTGCATTTAACAGCTACGAAAAACATTTTCACAGATTTTGAGTGCTTATGTACAATAAGAATAATAATTAATGACAATAATAATAAATCTTTATTTGACAGAGACAATGCATTGGTACGCCAGCCCGGTGGTCCAGTGGTTAGCGCGTCAACCTCACAGTGCCGAGGTACTGGGAGCAAAATGGATGTCAAGATGAAATTCACAGAATTGCTAATTACTTGATTACCGACCCTACGCTGCGATTAATCGCAGTGCTACGTCACCCAGTGTGACAGCGGCACTCATTGGGAGACAGTGTGATGACTGCAGACGAGGACCACTTTGATGAGACTGGAAATGATCACACCAACTGATGCGCATTTGTTCGACTCATCACACCCGGAATTCAGATTGCGGACCATGAATTGATCTCAGTTCAGAACGCAGAGGCTTGCTTTCAGAGACTGATTGCACATGAAATGGCGAGCAAACTGTTTACCACCTTGTTGGATACTACTAACAGAAGCTGGACTGTGTTAGCGTTGAGCGAGGGCTGAACATGAAAAAGAAAAGCAGCCCCAGTGTGCCTGAGCCTGTCAGCTCAAGGGACGGAGATAAGAAACTCCACAGTGTACGATGACTGTTGCAAGCTAATCGTCATCACGATCATCATATTACAACTGAACAGTTTTATTCACAGAGGAAGAGGCACTTGATTGAAGATAGCAAGGCTAAATGCAGAGTGCAGGAGATGCGCAGAAGTGTCACCATATAGATCAAAGGAGTCCTCCAAAGACTTCAGATGAAAATGCTCGTGTTCAAATTGGTAAATGCTCCCCTTGGGGGGAAAAAAAAATCAAGCCTGACTTTTGTTGTACCTGTCTGCCTAACGGCGACTTTCAAACAGGCTGTCAGCAGCTAGTCTCAGTGAGGAAGACAGCAGGGCTGGCTGGTTGATCTGCCCTGAAGGTACAGAACTATTATCCAAGTTTAGATGAATTCATGATGATGAATCACTGTTGATCCTTTTTAAGTACATATGCGCATTTTGCTTTGACTCGAGGTTGAACATTTTCAATTTTTTTTTAATTCATCAATGCTAAGGTAATGATAGTTAATTGGCACGTCCATCTAATTTAGAGATGGGCTACTGACATG